GCCTAGGATATTGATCTTTATGCATTCCATTTCGTTTCTGACAAATTATTCCCTTGTCTAGCCTTTGTTCTCCCTAGAACTCATCTCTATCAGAAATTCCAGTACTGGTTAGTGCATCAGTATGCTCTACTCTGTCCTCCCATTAGCATGTGAGCACCACAGGAAGCAGCATTGTCTGTGCTTGGATCCCTATCACCTGGAGGGATGCATGGCACACAGGAGGTGTTCGTAAAAACCTGGTGAATGAACAAACAAGTATGTGTCATTCCATATATAAATAAAACACTTTCCACAAAGTTCCCATTTGACTCGTACGGCAATTCTTTAAGAAAGATAGAAATTATGTGGTTGTTGTTAGCTGCCATCATGAAACACCATCCTGTACCATTCATGTCATGTAATCATTGCTGTTTGAGCTCACTGAGGATCTTTTTTGCACACCCTTTGCACTACCAAACGTGATGTCTTTCTCCAGTGACTGATCCTTCCTGATACCATGCCTAAAATAAATGAGACAACGTCTTGCCATTCATACATCTAAGGAGCATTTTGGCTGTACTTCTTTCAACACAGATTTGTTCATATTTCTGGCAGTCCATGATAATTCAAATGTATTTTGCCAACACCATAATTCAAAGACATCAATTCTTCTTTGGTCTTCTTTCTTCATTGTCCAGATTTTGCATGTCTGTGAGACAGTTGAAAGTACCTTGGCTTAGGTCAGGCACACCTTAGTCTTTAAAGTGATATACCTGTGTTTCGTTTTGTTTTTGATACTCCAAAGAAGTCTTTTGACTTTCCCAATGCAATATGCCATTTATTTGCTTGACCACTATTTCTACAGGCATTGATTATGGAGCCAAGCAAAATGAACTCCTTGACATCAATCTTTTCTCCATTTATCATGATGTTGCTTATTGATTCAGTTGTGAGGATTTTACTTTTCTTTATGTTGAAACTGTAGTCGTTGATCTTCATCGCTAAGAACTTCAGTCCTCTTTGCTTTAAGCAAGCAAGATTGTGTCTTCTACATATTGCAAGTTTTTAGTGTGTTTTCCCCTAATCCTGAAGCTCCGTTCTTCATGTAGTCCAGCTTTTTGGATTATTTGCTCAACATACAGACTGAATATAGTGAAAGAATAAAACCGTGACACACAGCTTTTCTGATTTTTAAACCACAAAGTATCCTGCTTTCCCTATTTGAACACCTTCCTCTTAGTCCACATGAGCATAATTACGTGTTCTGGAATTCACATTCTTTGCAATGTTACCCCTAATTTATTATGATCATGAAACACAGGTAAACATTTTTCTGATATTCTCTACTTTCTGTCAAGATTCACCCGGTGGCAGCAATGATATTCCTCATTCCACATCCTTTTCCGAATGTGCAGCTTGAATTTCTAGCAGCTCTTTGTCAGCGTACTGCTACAACCGGTTTTGAACCATCATCAGCAAAATTTCACTTTTGTGTGACATTAATAATACTTGATAATTACCTCATTCTGCTGGGTCACTTTTCTTTGGAATATTCATGAATAGGAATTACAACCCTTTACAGGAGGCTCAGAGAGATTCTGTGGTTTTCTGGGGGTCATATGGCTTGTAAAGTGAAAGATGTGTTGACATGCAAAGCTCGGTTCTAATGCATGATCCCTCTCATGTGAACAGATTTCCTCCAGCCCGCTCCTCTTGGGGCCTGCCCAGCGAAGGCTGAGCATCAGCACCAGCATTGGGGGCGACACCGGGCTGATGAGCTGTGTGCTCCCCGAGGAGCTTCTCGTGCAGATCCTGGCCAAGCGAATACAGGTATGTACACCCCACCTGCACAAACTCACTCCTGGTCCCCATGAATAAGCTGGGGTTCCAGCCCAGCAATGGCCCATTCCAAAACAGCTCAGGGCCCAGGAGACTTGAAGGGAAAAGATGGGCCTTTCTATCCGCAAGTGTCATTGACATCCTTGCCCCTTTCACAGCTCTTATCAGTCCTGGTTTTGGCCCAGGCAACACCGGAAATCATTCATCGTTTTAGAGGACCAGTGAGCAGAAGTTTGTACATAAGAAAATAAAGTCATGTGTTAGCGATCATACTGTGGTGTCATTAAAAATTACTGTTTACCCCGATGATAGTTGTT